GAGAATAAGAAACGTTTAATTTTGAGTGCGCATTTTTTAAATTTGTACTCGAGTGTTCCAAAAGGTGTTAGTGAGAGGTTTGATATATCCTTAAAACGGTTTGGAAGTTCACTCAATAGGTGAAATTCGATTTATATACAGTTCGGGTGGTAGAGTTAGTAGCTCAATTCATGATTTCGGTAAGATTCAGAGAATCGGAGCAAGAGAGTTCGGGTGGTAGAGTTAGTAGCTCAATTCATGATTTCGGTAAGATTCAGAGAATCGGAACAAGAGCTGGTCTCATTCAAATAAAGCGCACCATAAGAGGGTGGGCCTAGGTGCACCATAGTGAGATTTCATTCCAAAACTAATCGGTGATGAGAGGAGTAGCCCACTAATCATATAAACTAGGCCCAATTTTCTTATAGAACTAATGTAGGAGAATTCACATGTAATACTCCAATAATTTCCAAGGAGATGGGAGAAATTCGGAACGACCTGCACGAAAGTATGCACAAGATGAAATATATGCGAGCAAAGGTTAGTGTAAGAAAATAATAGTGTGTTCTGTCTCAATTTTATTTGTTTTCTATCCTACTCATAAATTGAATAAAAATGGACAATTTAATTAAAGAAATAATATGACAGGTAAATGAAGTCTACCTAGCACCTAATTGGGGATAAAATCACTGTTTCATTTACTTATACCAAAACTAGTCCAAAATTGTCGGGTTTTCTAATTTTGATCCTATTGAAATGGTGTTTCTCAATATTATTCCCCAACCTTTAAAATTCAATCAAAATAGGGACAATTGTTATCAGAATTGTCTTTTCTGGCCCGAACATGACACATTATACTGACGTGTCTTAATAATATTACAGTTGGTACATTTAACTCCTGCCGACATGAAAAAATATCAAAATTAGTCTCATAATTATACAGATGTTTCAATATTAATCTCATTAAAAAACTATTTTTTTTTTTCATTTTTACATTAAAAAAATCGTTCTTATTGTTAATATTTACAAAATTTTTATAATCTTTCCATAATATCGTAGCCAAAATATTTAAGTAATATAGATAAACAACAATTATAAAGATATTTTCAGTTAAATTGACATAACCATCTTTATTCTCATAAAATAATGATATACTAAAAAATAAAAAATAATTTATGAATAGTTATGCATTTGAAAATAAATGAAAGGATGACAGAAAAATGAAAAACAAAAGAAAAAATATATTCTATAATCAGGGTGATGCATATAAAAATACCACGATATCAAGGACATTTTATAAAACAACATTAGGAGTATTTTCACAAAGTTAAACTTTGAATAATGAAGGCTATTTTTTTTTTAAGACACATGCTAATATACGTATATTTTGGAACTTTTTATAGGCATAAAACATTTGTACAAATGCCAGAAATATTCCAGTTCATACAGAATAAAAATACCCTTTACAAAATAAATAAAGAAAAAATGTTTGAAGGTCTTTATTTATAAGGGCACTTGATTTCATATAAAATCTGCAATGAATGGAAATACCCTAATATCATTTTATAAAATGTCCTTAATATCATGGTATTTTGATATGCATAACCAGCAAATGCATAAGTATACACAAATATTTCTTTTTTTTTTTGTTATATCATTATTTGATAAAAATAAAAATGGTCATGTCATTTGATTGTAATGTTTGTAGTATTTGCAAATATAATATTTGATTATATAATTCTTATTTTTAACATTTTAAAATTATCTTTATAACTGATATTTATCTATATAACTTAAATATTCCAATTTATGATATTATGAAAAAAAATAATAAAGATTGGGTAAATCTTACAATAAGAACTTTTTTTTTCTTTCAATTGTTTAAAAATGAAAAAAATGTTCATTTTTATTGGGATCAATATTGAAAAATCTATAGTTATGGGACTAATTTTGACGTTATCCGCCACGCAAGAGTTAAATGGACCAGTTGTAACATTATTAAAAGACGTTGGCATGATGTGTCATTTCTGGGCCAGAAAAGAAAGGTTCGACAATAAATGCCCTTATTTTGATTGAATTTAAAAGTTACAGGAATGGTTTTTAGAAACACCATTCGTATGAGATAAAACTAGTGTGTAGCCCGTGCGATGCACGGGTAAATAATATTAAATAATAATTATGAATTAACGATGACAGTAAATAATATTAATTAATAATTATAAATTAAATATGAGGACAAACAATATTAACTAATAATTGTAATTAAGAAGTGGAGATATTAACTAATAACTGTAATTAAGATGTGGAGTTAATATGTGATATAATTTATCGTATATCAGTTGTAAACAATATAAATTTATCTTGCATAAAATAACATAAAAATGTATGTTTAAAATATTAAAAACACCTAAAATATTATATAACATATGTAAAGTATCTAAAATTTTATATATCATTATTGAAGATGTGAAGTCACCTAAAATCTTTCTAAACTATTTTATAAATAAAACATGTCTAAAATTATTTAAAAAAATCTTGCCGAAAATGTTATTCAATTTCCTGAACATTATGATAAGTATAAGTTTGAATTTTAGAATCCACGTGAGTATTATATTTTAGATCCGTGTACTATACAAATTATTCATTATGTTAATTTCCTATGAACTTCATATTGATTTATTGATTTTATTTTATTTCTATACAAAGTTGATCGTCTCATTTTGTTTTACCATATTTTCATGGAGATTTAACAAAGTCGATTGCATTTATAAAATGATTTGGATATCAACATACAATTTATAATGGAGTTTTCAAAATTGTGTACTATTAACAAATTAATGATATATTATCATTAAATATATTTTTTTTAAATGCACAATTATTGAGACTGATAATTTGATAATTATTTTACCTTTGAAACCGAGTATAGAAAAAACAATAGATTTGTAAACAAATAAGTGATAAACATTACCAAATTTGTTATCACACGTTCCAAATAAAAAAATTGTGATGATTAGTGGAAAATAATATTTAACGAACAACATTCAATATTTTTTTTTTTTTGAAAGGCATAAATATAAAGACCGATATTTTAAAATTTCTATTACCTTTTCAATTGAGATTTTATAAATATAGAGACTGAGATTTTAATGTTCTTCGTTGTTTCTATGAAAAAATAAAATAAAAATGAAAAATGTACACTTAATAGATCTTAGCTAGAATTTTTAAATAATAAAATGAATTAAAGCCAAAAATTTAATGCAACATTAAATGTTGTATGATTTTTCAAAGATAAAAATAAAAAATAAATAAAACTTACTATTTATAGATTGCATTAAATTCTCTCTTATTTTTTTGCTACTATTTTTGTTAAATGGTAATTCTTATTATATATATATAGAAATGTAAAACCCAAAAGCTATGGGAATAGGTTTTATACTTTTCCTTTTATCTCATATTTGATTCAATTAGATGAACGTCACGTATATAAATATGACGTTATCGTGTACACATCATATATTCAATGAAATAAAACACGGGTTTAATGCACTAAACCCCCCTGTATTATACGAAATCTGCGCGTTTCCCCCCTGTATTTTAAAAATTGCGTCAGACCCCCTTCTATTAAGGTTTTGTATGCGCGAAACACCCAAAATCGTCTAAAATTTGGGTGTTTCGCGCATACAAAACCTTAATAGAAGGGGGTCTGACGCAATTTTTAAAATACAGAGGGGAAACGCGTAGATTTCGTATAATACAAGGGGGTCTTGTATATTTTACCCAATAAAACACATAACGGAATACAAAATTAAAACAGGAAATCCACTCCCTAATGTAATTAGAGTTTGACGTCATGCATGACGAAATTTGCTGTGGATGGATAACTTTTAATTTTCATGATGAGTTTTCTAGTCCAATTTCACTACTTGGAGTAGTGGGAATTAGGGGTTTCCCAAGAAATGTGTAAGTGTCAGCAATAATAAGGTTCAATTTTGAGTGTGTGCTAAAAGACATCTGATGGGCTACGTGCGGTCCTTTGGTGTATCTTGTGATATGTGGGATGAACACAAAGTTAGTTGAATATAATACTAAATTGCATTGAATAAGTGGGTGAGATCAAAACAAAGGCTCACTAGATATGGATGCAATAACTCACATGGAAATTCAAGCAAATAAAGTCAAAATAAAGGGAGATCACTGTCTGTTGTTTCTTCAAATCCGTATGTTTTTTAAGGACAAAAGGTCACGAAATTGTCGTGGGCTCGAGCGAATTGCGACCGGCTGTCGTCTGCGTATGGATCTCGTTCGTACGGTATTTAATACCGTATTCTATCGACTGATAATGTCGAATATTGATGATCGAAATAATACGGTTACTATTTAAAAAGTGGTATCACTAAAAAAAAAAAAGGTCTTGTTACATAATCTTTGTTACATAATCTCGCGCAAATTAGGCGTGTGAATTATAGTCTTTTAAATATTCATTTAGTATATTGATGTACCAAATTTCTATAACCAATATATAGAGAGGATGCATTCCAACGAGAATAGTTTTTAGGGAGGAAAATAAAAATATATTGTAGCCATAAGATCAAATAATCCAACGTCCAAAAACATGGATCTCAAATGCGGGACCTTGGGAGTAGGGCTAGGGTTGACATTTTTTGATTTTTTTACTTAAAAAAAAAACAAAAAATAAAGTGGACAAGAACAAAACAACAAAAAATCTTGTGGAATTACTTTAAAAAAAAACAAAAAATGAAGTGGACAAGAACAAAACAAAAAAAAATCTTGTGGAAATAAATAAAAAGCACGTATTCTGAAAATACGTTTTTTTTGTAATTTTAATTGAAAAACGTATTTGCATAATACGTTTTTCATTGAAACACGTATTCTGAGAATACGTTTTTCAATGACAATTTGTAAAGAAAACGTATTCTCAGAATACGTGTTTTTGATTTTGGTCCAGATTTTTTTTTTTGCTTTTATTTGTGTCCACTTGTGTTTTTTTTGTTTTTTATATATAAATTTCCCGACATTTTTTACCCGAAAACTGGAAAATGGAACCAAATCGATTGGTAACATAAAAAATAATTTCGATTCTGATTCGATACCGCTACATGAAGGTTCGGTTAAACCGAACAGAACCAATACGAATTAAAATATATATATATATATTGATTATTAAGTGAATACATGTATCATCTAGATTAAGTCCATTTCTAACACATGCATTACCTGTAAAATTGATACCATTTACGTTAACTTTTTAGAATTAAAATTGTAAGATTCTTGTTCCATATCAATGATGATATAAAACCAAATGCATGGACAAGCCACAGCATCCACCAGGACTGAATTATGTAACTGTCTCATTATAAAACTCCACACCACTAGATATTTTTTGCTGAATTAAAAAACTGAAATGAAGATTAACGAGACAGAATGACAATAACAAACACATTACCTAAAACTTCACGTAGTCACAATATCTCTCCATTTATGAAAGGTTTATCTCTCTCCAGCTGTGTTTGAAGAGCATGAATAACTTAAAATAGTGTTTGATCTTTTGATAGATAAAACCCACAAATTCAAGCTTCATATGCACGAAATTAATCTAAGAGACAAACTAGTTACTTGATTTTAGTACTTGTGTAAGTTAATGATATGCACAATCATGTTTGTGTAAGTTACTTGATTTTACTTTCTGTTTTGAATTTAGATATCATTTTCAGGATTTTATACTTTTCGTTGTACTATTGATAACTTGACATCATTTTCTAGGCTTCACTTGCACATGTTGTTCTTGTCCATGTTGGCATTATTTTCTTATACAGTGAACATGCGAAGCATTAGGAGAAGGCAGGACTTGGGTTAAGCTAACTCCTCTCAGGCAAGCCTGAATTTGTATTTCTATTCGGCTTTTAGATCATAAAATCATAACTAAGCATTCACTAATAAGTAGGCAAAATAGCCTTCATCTGATCAAAGAGGCATCCTCAATTTCGTAAAATATAGTAGGCACCTGATAATATTACTGCTCATGAAGGAGAATGATGGCCATCATGGGTGAATACAGAATTCAGAATTTCCTTTTCAGAATTTTGTTCTCTCTCAAAGAGAACACCATTGTGTTTTTGTGATAAGAATTGTCTACATTAGTCCATATGGTATTAACATGTATCTTGACGAAATCTACGGGTTAGTAACAAACTTCAAGATATAGTGGTTTGTACCATAACACAATTTGTCATGCCTGGAAATTTAGTTTTCTTGTGATCCAGCAAAATCTCGGCATCTTCGCAAGGCAGCTCTTATATCTTTCAGCATCTCATCCACCCGTATGCCTTTTCTGAAAATCGAGACGGATAAAATGATTTTTCAGCATTGAAGGTCACATGAAAAATGACCGAAAGACCCACAATGGGGATTGCAGTCTTCAAGAAAGTAAATTCATCTAAAGGTGAAAAAGTGAAACAGCTGTTAATAACAATAACTTACAGGACACTAACGCCCACAACAGCAAAAGGCTTCGGATATTCTTCAATCGCCTTGACCTTCTTGTCAATAGGAACATCGTTATTAGCTCTTTTGTCCTCATCACTTGTCAATTGTAAAGTGGCTTGCTTATCATTTCCTATTCTCCATATTTCTTTGGTTAACTTGGCAAGTTTCTGTTCTGCCTGCAGTAGTGGTTAAGCCCAAAAAAAAAAAAAAAAAATTCTTACAACTCGAAAAGGACATCAACATACAAAAAGTGCAACTCAAAGTAATGTGTACCTCAGGGATGTCGATCTTGTTTAGAACAACAATGTAAGGTCGATCAAGGTAATCAGGATTGTACATCCGCAACTCCTGCAAAAATCAACAGCATATATTTTCATAATTTTTTTTTACACAAGGACTAATTACAAGAATGGAACTTTTGGCTGGCAACTGAATAGAAATTTTGCAAAACAAACCTTCAATTGTTCAGGATCATGAATAAGCTTTTTACCTCTTTCACTGTCCTGTAATCACACAGTGGATCCTCCGCAGATGCATCAACAACGTGAACCAACATCCTCGTTCTCCTCAAATGTCTCAAAAAATTGCGGCCGAGTCCCTGGAATATTAACAAATTCATTTACAGTGCAGTTACAAACACACCCTTCAAGATTTTATATTCAACTGATAACTACCCTCCTCTTGTTGAGGAGCACTGGTTATGTTGAAATATAATTGCTTTTCTAATTAGGACAAGATATATGGATTTAGTTTTAGTTATAAGTGTTTGAAATACCTTCCCCAGATGAGCACCTTCAATGAGTCCAGGCAAATCTGCCAATGTTGCCTGAGATGAAAATTGCTCGGGACCCGAGCTGGGATCACCATTAAGGCGTCCTAAGTTTGGCATCAACGTTGTAAATGGATAATCGGCTATATCAGGCTTTGCAAGTGTTATAGCTGCCAGCAAGGTGGATTTTCCAGCATTTGGAAGCCCCTTTGTTATAAAACGAATAAGAAAAGGTTAATAGTGAAGCTCAGTTCTTATTACGCAGCACCACTTTAAGAAACAAAAAACTGTCAAAATTTAAGCATTCTGACAAATCTAATGAACAATCTAATGCGACATGTCCTGACTGTTGTGATTTGTCATGTAATGATATCAGACAAACAATTTCAAATACTTCGACATTTCTTTCTCATTTTTATCAAAGTGTCTACACATTTAATTTATAGACTGTATGTCTATGAAGAACTTGTCCATGTCAATTACGTGATGAAAAGGCAATCAGGGCTGAGATGTTTAACCAAGGCCAAGACCCTTAACAGAGCAAGTTCAAAACATAAGTAACTAAATCCGAGACAAATATGGCACAAAACTTTGACGCATCTGATTTAAGTGAAAGGCATAGGAGCTTAGAAAAGCTAATACAAATATACCTTATGTGGATTGAATACATCGCCACACGTGCATTTCTCGGTACACATAATACAAGATCACCAGAAAGTTCAAAGAAAAACGAGAACATAAACAAAAATATGACGAGCTGATACGCCTACAGTTATAGGTCTGAAATGAGAAGATTTACTGAGCAAATAAAATGAGACGACAGAGGAAATAGATTGAACAACAAAGACAGAAATCAAACAATTATAAGAACCATTATTTAACTCCCGAATAGAAAGGGGAAGTTCATGGTGCGCGCATATTAACAAACCATGATATATGCATGTCTGGATAAATGTGTATAGTGATACATGCATGATTTTTCCCCTGCAGAAAATCGATACCCAAAGCTTAATTGATATTGACTAATACAAGGAATACTTACAACAAGACCAACATCAGCAACGACTCTTAGTATCAACTGCAGACTGACTACTTCTCCAGGCTGCCCAAGGGTCAAAACCTGAAACATGAAGCACAATAGATAACATGAGTAAGCATGCAATCAGCATATGAAAAGTCTAACTATAGCGGCAAAAGTTTTGTATCTTTTTCAGGCATCAAATCTGAAGCTCCTTTTTTGTATGGGGAAAAAAGGAACTAACAGGCGATAAAAATCATTAAACGTTCTGTGGGTCTAATTCAGATCACAGGACACAAAAATATATCGAAACATGAATGTCAAAACAAACTTAAAGAGTTTCATGTTGCCTTCATTTTTCTTCAAAAAAACATATCATAAATTAACTGATAATTGACAGAAACAAGGAGACAACAATACTACAATGACAACTGAAAACAGTTATAATCAACAACAGCCAAATGAAAAAACATGCAAACGTCTTCTCTTTCCAGCTAACGTAATACCCAACCGGATATATGTTTTGACATGGTGATAAATGGAAGTATACATGATTTAGCCCTTCTTACTTATGGTTGTGAAATATAGCTGGCTTTGATGTCATAAGTTATGAATGATTCGTAGTCCACGTCATTTATTTTCTTCTCCAATGTTGACGGAAGCTACAGCTTTGCCACATAAAACAAGAGCCAAATATTCTTCTACACTTACAGTAATTTTACATGCAAGAAGTCATCCAGACGTAATGAAAACCACCAAACCAAGGGTGAACAAATAACAGATAGCTATTCAAATTTTCATATGTCATTGTATCAAAATCCATATCCGTGCACAAAACAACATCTTTATATAACCACTTCAGATAGAAGATTACTAGGATTCTGATGAGTGAAGATAAATCCACAAAAAACTGGCTAAATAATACTTTTAATCCCATTCGAACTTTCCTTCTCCAATTTCAGAGAAAAAAAAAATATAAAAAAAAATTCAAATATCTAAAAGAAAATCAAACAAGACATTACCTTGTCATTATCATCCCTCATCACATTGGTGGTCAAAGCCACCATCTTTTTCTTCTTATGCTCAGGCATTTCCAGCAAGCTTATCTGCCAGCACCCAAGTAACGCAATTTACATTTTTCACAAGGTCAAGAGAAAACTTGAAGAAAAAGCAGTACACTCTGTACTCATCGCCTGTTTAGGTACAACTGGTTCACTTTTGTCCACAACAGGATACAATCAAGATAATAAATTCTCACCCCTCCTTGTCCACCTCTTGCCACAACAACTTCATCACCAGGACGAGCCAAATCAGCCAGAAGCTTTCCCCTTTTATGTTTTACAACGGTACCTTTCACAATAAAGTGGAGGGAGGTTAACAAAGACAAA